GCTATGTGTCTAACGTATGTGGAGTGTTAGTAATAAGCTCATGTATGGACTAGGATAGTAGGCTTGGAGAGTTGGATGCGGGTGTTTTTTTTTTTCAGGCGAAAAACAGGAGGCATACTCATTCCTAGCTTCGTGCGCGGGGTGGTATGTATATGTGTCAGCTCTCTCTCTCTCTCTCTCTCTCTCTCTCTCTCTCTCTCTCTCTCTCTCTCTCTCCACCTCCCACCTCTTCACATCTCGCTTTTATATGTATCGACGCATGAGACACGTGCGCACTTACTTGGATGATTAGGATAGGTAATATAGGCAGGATAGGTACTATGTAGGTAGGACACCCAAGGTATTGGAGATACAGGGTACAGTACCTACTTCGGCAGATCACGGTCCCAATGTCAAAGTAAACGTCAAAAGTAAAACGTTAATTCTGGAATGTATTTTTTTTTTACTCCATCGCCTCAAAACACGTCAAGTATTCCAACATGGCAACATTCCCAAGATTCCTTGCTCGTGAGGAAGCAAGCGGACTTTTCTTGACTCTTTGCTCTTTCTTCCTTGCCCTTTCAAAGACCTTTTCTCGGCGACTGACGTGAAGACAATAAAATGGAGTTGGCCGCATGGCTTCATATGATCATAGTATGGATGGATGGACATTGTGTACTGCCCAGTGGCTACTAGGTATGTACAGAAGACGTGCAAACATGTATGCATACACAGGGACATGGGTAGGTACTGGTACTGTAGATAGGTAGGTAGTAGGTAGGTATCCACATAAGATACATATACGTGGATACTGGGTATTCAGTACTACGTAGGTACCAGGAAAGCGATAGGTAGATAGTAATGCATACATACATACCTATCTTAGTATGTATGAGGTGAGGTAATACGTCCACCTCAAGGTGCCCTTGTTGTTATTGTTTCTTTTTCTTTAGTGGAAACCCCATCCACCACATACCTACCTACCTACCTAGATACCTAGGTACCTATCTACATAGGTACGGCGGCCGAAACTCCTTTTACAAGTTCATAAAACACCACACACCAACGCTATCCGGCGCAGCAGAAACAGACACCAAACAGCAGTGCTAACTCCGTACTGTCGCCGACGCCAGTGCAGGTCCGTATATCAAATCAGTCAATCAGCCCGTCCAACCAACGACGGCGTACATGAGTTTTCGTGTCCCCATCCCAGGTACCTAGTGTATGTCTTCAATCGAGGCGTTTGGATCGGTCATCAGTCAGTCAGTCAGATCACGCCCCGACACTGACCTGCCCGCTTCCCTCACCTGGCGCCCCGCCGCTTTGGCTGCTCCGCCTCTCCTTCTCCAGAGACTCTTCGTCCGGGAGCATCTCGACCTGCCTGAGCAAAAAGCTCTTTTCGTCCAGGAACTGGTCGTCGTCGGTCCGCCCCTCCAGGAAGGTCGGTAGGAACCTCAACAGCCGGCCTCGGTTCTTGACCAGGATCCGCTTGACCTCGTCGCTCTTGTTCGGATTCGCCACAAAGACCTTGAACACGTGGAAGGCCTCGTACTGGACCATCTTTCTGTCGTCTTTGAGCAGCGTCATGGTCAGTTTCAGGTGGTCGGCGCTCGAGACGTATTGGGTCATGATGATGTAGTTGCTGCGGTCGAGGAGCAGTTCGCCCAGCAGCTTGATGGATTGGCGTTTGGTGACATACGACGGCGATAGGAGAAGGATGGGGTTATAGTACTGCGTGAAGAAGAGGGTATAATTGGTCGCCAGGTATTGTGAGACGAGTTGTTTGTGTTTGGTGAGGATTTCCTATGATCCCGCATACATTAGTACTGGCGTGTACAATGACACGATCAATCAACAGGGGCAGATATCGACTTACCCTAAAAGTGGTAAACGCATCTGCAGACACCTCGAAGCTGCTTTTATTGATCCATTCAAAAAATTTCCAGAACACGCCTTTGCCCGTTTGTTTGCGGCTGACGTCCAGATCTTTCAGGTGCACGGCCTTTTCGCCCGGTTGAGATTCGTCGTATAATATCACCGCCGCAATGGTGTCATATGCCAGCGCTTGTCGCAGAATGGTCCCGCACGGCATGGCCGACTGTGGATGGTCATACCCCCGACACAGTTCGACGATGATCTCGGGCCGTTGGAGGACAAGGTAGGAAATCGCCGAGGGGTCCGACGAACCGGACTGTGACGAAGAGTTCGAGGCCTTGTAGCGCAGGATGTGAGAGAAGATGATCTGGGCATCTTTCCGGGCTTCAAAGGGCAGCAGACGGATAGATTTTGCCAGCTCAAAGAGAATGTCTTCTTGAATGATGCAGTGGACGAGTTGGTGGACTTGCTCTGGGCTGCATTCAACTTCTGTACTCGGGTGGTTAGAAGGGGGGTTCATCGAATATGTTTTGGGGGTTTGGTAGAGGGCTCGAACCTGGAGTGCCCTGGACAATCAATTTCATCTGGGACATGTGTTTGGCGACATCTTCCTCCACCTGTACAACGAGCAGTCAACATGCAGTCTTGCAGTTACATGGTGAAGGACAGGTCTGCATACTTTTGGACTGGGACTGGGATCGTGGAGTTTAACCAGAAGGTCTTTCAACGACCTTGCGATTTCGGCGGGTTGCTTTTGTCGCCCTCTCCCTCCAAAGAGAAAGGCCATGGTGGACCTCTAGCAGACAACTAGCATACAGTCGTGAAAGAATAGGTCACGCAAGCAAAGATGGAAACAATGGAAGTCTGGATTTACGGCGCTGCGGGCGCTTTCGAGGGGTTCCAGTGATTGTTCGATTTCCCTGCGCGACCCACGGAATCTCTGCCGCGATTTGGATTGAAACTCGAGACCCGCAATGTTTTTGTGTATCTGTTGATTGGGCAACCATCGCCACCAACCTGATGAGATTAGATCGAGCCACCATTCATCATGTCTATCACACCCCCAGCTCTGTCCAAAAGAATATTATCCTGTCTTTGTCACCATTTCGGGCATCGGTACGCAGCCTTCTCGAACATCTGTCCTCCCACTGCTCCCCGCTTCTCCTCCAACTAGCCACTGTGAACGTCCCGCCCCATATCCTGACCGAACTTCCTCGATCTCCAGTCCGGATACTATCAAGTACAGCAGTCCGTGGAGCATTTTGGGGCGTCGAATAAAGAGCCCAGATTACAGCAGCAAGCCTAGAACGAGTCCCGTAGGTCAGACATGGCCAGATCAACAACTTCTGTTTTCTGAGCATCGGCCCCAAGGAACAAAGAAGAGATGGTTACTTTACCTTCACTCCCCAGCTTGGACAGCAGTTACAGTTCTCGTAGCACGTCTTGCTGTAGCCTGGCAGCAAACTACATTTGCAGGCTTGAGCACTTTTTTGATTCGTCGAATTGATTTCAAGTTCGAGGTGGGTGACCTTTGTCGGTCTGGTGATGTTGTTGTTGACGGTGTCGTTGAAGTCGAAAGAGACAGCCAGAGCAGTCGCTGGGCTGAAGATGAGAAGGTACAAAGAGGCGGCCAAGCCAAGACACTTCATTTTGATAGGCTCTGTCGTGGACCTCGCAGCAGCAGTGAGAGAAATGTCAAGAAGAGAGAAATGAGGAACGATTCATCACAACTACAAATAATCATGCAAGTATTTTATCATAGGCAGGCAGCCACCACATCACTGCCTCCTATCACTAGGTGAAGTCCGGTTGCCACTCCATCTCTACCCAAATTGGATCTTCACTTGTACACTCAAAGTTCATGCTCGTCTTTCACTGCCCAGACTGTGTCACAAAAGATGAGGGGCAGCCCAGGCGACAACGGGCGAATGAAGGACGCATGTGAAAGGTTGTGAGACAAGCAGCACCTGGCCTCATTAACTTCACATTGGCAACGTCGCCTCGTTCACAAGCAAGGGCTTGACAATGAGGGCCGACTCTGTGTGGGATTTCGGGTTGCTGGTAGTTGCATGGTTGAGTGAACCGACACCTGGTGGACTGTGCGTGTCAATGTTGCAGTTTCTAAAGTGAATTCTCCATCCATAATGTGAATAGTCTCGCAGTCTTCGGTCTGTTGTCTCTGGACTGCTTGTATTTGATCAGGAATCGGGTGTTTGCGCTGTCGGCGTTGTATTCCTCATTCCGAAGCATCTCTTTGAGCATGGCAACCTACCACCTCTATGTCCCCGTCGTCAGAACCGGGGGTTGCGGACCCTATTGTTTGCCACATCTCTCGGCGAGTGAGGAGAATGGTATATTATGAAACGATTCTCTCATGTCTCTTTATACTGAGCATTTCTGAGCTCAGAGTTCAACCCTCCCAGCCATCATACCATAACAAAGGTCAAAGCAAAGGTTTAGTACTGGCCCCATTGCTCGAAGGACAGTGACGAAGCGAGAGCCACTGATGCAGGAAATGCAAAAGGGATACATTGTCGCCGCGGTCGAGTTCGCCGAGGAAAGGTGGAGTCGGTCATTATGTGCTCCTCCCCTCTCGTTGAGGACTGAGAGCCCAACCATGTACGAATAACGCAAAAAGTGGTCCTCCGCAAAAGAAAACGACCCCAAGTCTAGGAGGTTTTCTAGAGTCTTGCGACCGGAAAAAATTGAGATGATGCGTCAGAGCGTTTCGGACATGCGCCCAACACCCCTATCGCTTCCTTGCTGATCCATCCAAAAGCGCAGTGCTCTTCCCTATGTCGGCTGGCTCTTTCTCCTCCTCGTCTGGGGTCTTGGGTCCCGAGAGAGTCTCATAATCGAGCTCAGTCGCCGCGGCCTCCACAATGCTTTGCTTCCGTTCGCGTTCACGAGGAAACTCCTCGTGGGGCTTACCCTCAAATCTCTTCAAGACTGCCTCAATCATTTTGCCAAACCAGTAGAAGTTGAGCGAATTCAGTACCAGATTGCAAGTCAGATACACCCCCGCCAGCCAGACTGGAACGGATTCCGTCTGTGATCCAGTGAACTGCATGACTTCGGATTGAGCTATAATGCAGCTTTTGTCACCTAGGCATAGTTGGCCGTCCCTGGGGACGAATATAGAAGAATGGGAAGAAGCGGGGATCTCGCGAAGAACAGGGCCTGATTGAGTGTTGAGGTGCATCGTATGCCACACATCTTGATATACCCGCAACGACTGGTAGGTGCCCCAGATCAAACGGCAGCCAAAGAACACCGAAAGAAGGATCATTCCGTTATACCATTGCAGCTGAGACCCAGTCATGTTGAGTTTATCGCAGAACCAGTGGATGTTGAGGAAAGGAGTTGACAGTTCATAGAGAATGAACACCGGGCCGTAATAATTGCAAAATGGTCTCTGTACGTCTCAGTAAGCGAAGACACCACGAATTTTCGGCGCGAAACATCTTACAAATCCTAGTGCGAACACTGAGAGGGCGGTGATGGCGTGGGCCAGGATCCCCGGACCAAAGATCTTGAGGTAGCGCGCGCTCACTACAAGATCCCAGACGAAGTATCCTGTCGCCAGGCCTTGAATGAGCCCGGACGCACCCGTGTATCCGTATATCCGCTCAATTGCACTGCCGTGCATACCCTTACGCTCCTCGTCCTTGAACATTACCCATAATGCCGCAGTATTGATGACACACGACTGTAGCAGAGACACCACGTGTACATCCCAGTTAATGCGAGTGCGTCTCGTGAGCTTCGGGTAGATGTTGGGAAATAGGAAATTCGAGAGAACAGGCGAGAGAATGGACTGAGTTGTCTGGTATAGGACAAAGGCTCCTAGGACTTCGTGGATGTGGTTCGGTAGAGAAGGAAGGTGGAGAGTCTCGCTCAAGGGCGTCACCAGACTAACAAGCCATGGTGGAGGAGGGGGAAAGGGATCTAGCATCGTTCAGAGGGAGGGAGAGAGGGATGCGTGCGGCGGCTGGAATGATGAAGCTGCAAGATGAGTCGTCGTCGAGCGAGTCTAGTAGAAATGGAAGTAGGTCACTTTGGACATCAATGAGGGTGAAGAATAAAGGAGGGAAGCCAACCAATTTGTACAAGTTGGGATCAAACAAGTGGCATCGTGCATCTGGGCTGCTGGGCTCTCGCTGGCACCAGACGCAGCGAATGAGGAAGGAATGACGCACAACCAGGGCGGGAAATTGTTGGGGAAAACGGGAAAGGCGCCTTGGATGCCTTGAGGAAGGAAGGTGATCACGTTGGCAGACCTAAGGCTTAAGATCGTCCCTGCTGATTGGTTGCCTGGCCATCCAACGAGGCTGTACCAAAAAGGGAATCACGCACATGTCAGCAGCAACCTTGAGCCATACAAGCCATATCAGGTCAATCCAATGGCCATATTGAGTATCTCGATACTTGTTCCGTCATCAACCCCGTCCCGGGCACTGTGTTGCAATAATACTCGCTGAACGCTCACTACCCTTTCATCTGACTGTCTAGCCAAGAAGAAACATTAGACAACAACGACTCCAGAACGCCTCCCTCCTCATGATGTCCATTCTCTTCAACTGCCCGTATCCTACGCCGTCATCTGGAAGTATTCGTTATGGCTCTCCGAGCCTGCCGTCAACGGCTCGGTCCCTAGCCCGCTGTCACTGCCATGGTACTTCATTCCTTCCTCGGTAACAGCGGGTTGAGGCTGCATGTCGGACAGCATGTCTTCTTCGACAATGGTGCCACGTGATCCGGTCATCGTGGTCAGTGCCATCGAGTCCTCTTGACTTTCGTCATTGCCGTCATTACCAGAAGCCTGAGCGTTGTGTAGGACCATGGCCGTTTGGGTATTCTCGTCCGTCTCAAGCTCCTCATCCTCTTCGGCAATGCTATCCGTGTGTCCGTTGATGGTCCCAACAATGCTGCTACCACAGCTGGTCGACCTCCTGCTGTCTCTGCTCAACGAGCTTCCTGTGCCATATGTCATGCTGTCGGTGTACATGACGCTTGTGCCATAGCTCGTCCTCCTCTCAGTGCTTGTTTCGCTATGATTGTCGTCATCACTTTCATCGTGGTCGACGTCAAAGTTCTCTTTGTCCGTCAACTCTGTTGGTACACCATTCCAGCTGGCCTTCCGTCCGTTGACATAACTGCTAGGGTTGCTCTTTACAGACTGGCTGCGTTTGAGACTGACCAGGCCAGTTGTTTTAGGCACAGGGGCGAGCATCAAAGCCATATCGGGCGTGTTTCGACCACGGTTACCAGTGACATGGCTGGTGCTCAGAATTCGCCGGTCAACAGCAGATGTTCTTGGAGCTGACACTGCCTTGGTGTTTGAGGTTAGTGGCGTTCTCTTTTTCAAGGCTGTACCGACAGCATTGCCGATGGTAGACTTTCCGCCCTTGATCGAAGTTCTGGCTGTAGCTGTGCTAGCGGTACTTGGAACGCGCTTGAGACTCATCGATGCATCGCGTTCGGCTGGGCTGATTCTTGATCTGTTGATAGTCTTCGAAGACGTCTTAACCGCTCGAGCTTGGTTCACAAGTCCCTCGAGGATGCGACGCTCAAGGACCTCTGCTCTGGCGTTCATCTCGCGCATCTCGTCTTGTCGGATTTGCAGCGCAGTCTCAAGCTTCGCCACGTCTCGAGTCAATTTCTTTGTCTGCCCAATGAGCTGTTCTTGCTCCCGCCTCAACGTTGCCATGGACTCCAGGAGATTGTTCTTTTCTTCATTGAGGTAAACAATATCAGCCTCGACTTTCTCCTTCTGGGCCATTCGCT